ACTCCCTCGCTACTTCTGGCATTCGCGAAAGCTGCCCAAAGTGTCATTAGCTCGGGAGAGCTGTGCCTGCCCCTCAGCAGCTGCCGCACTCAGGAGAGTTGTGCACCTCACCTGGGCACCACAGCAGGGCTGACCCTGGTGCTAGGAGTGCAGATGAGCTAGCACCGATGGCAAGAGCATAGGAAAGCTGGCCCTGCCACTCTGCTGTGAGGTGGCCTGGGCCCAGGGGAGATGCCCTCCACCCCTTAACCCCTCACCCCCTGGGAGAGTCAGAAGAGCCGACCTTAGGGTCATGAGAGCAGGTGAGCTGGCACTAGTCCTCACCAGCTGTAGCACTAGGGAGAGTGGGCACTGCACCTCACCTGAGCTACATAATAGGTCTGGCCCTGGTCAAGAGGGCATGGATGGGCCAGCCCTGAGAGTGAGAAAATGGGAGAGCTGACCCCACCACTTGTCTCCTGTGAGGTGGCGCCCCCCCAACCCAGCCTCTCACCAACTGCAGTGTTCAGACCTGGCTCTGTTCCTTGCCTGCTGCAGCACTCAGGAAAGCAGGCAAGTGCCTCACCTGGGCAGCACAGTGGGGCTGGCCCTGGTAGAGGGGCACCAATGAGCTAGCCCCAAGGACAAGAGCAGAAGAGATCTGGCCAGGCCACACATCAACAATGAGGTGGTGTGGATGCTGGGGTGTTGCTCTGCCCCTCTTGCCACCTGCAGTAGCCTGGAGAGCTGGCTACGAAGGCATAAGAGCAGAAGAGCTAGCCCTGGCTCCAGCACCCAGGTGAGTGGGCCTTGACTCTGATAGCATAGGCATATGAATCAGCCCCCAGGGTGTGAGAACAGGAGAGCTGTCCCAGCCCTTCCCAGACTGTAGCACTTGGGAAAATGGGCCCTGTGCCTTGACTGGGCAGCACAGTGGAGCTGGCTCTGGAGGCATGGACGCAGGTGATCCAGCTCTGAAAGCATGAGTGTTGGAAAGCTGATCCTGCTCCTGCCAATGGTGACACTGGGTGACCAGTGCTGAAAAGCTTGCTCTGGTGGTGGAGATAAGGGAGAACCAGCAGGCTGACCAGCTCAGCTACCACCCATGCCCAGATCCAGAGCTCTGAGTTGGCCCACCCCAAAATCTATATCATCCGCGGACACTTGTGATGTATGCAAGGGCCAGTCTTGCGGATCCAAAGCTGCAGGATCTCCATGACACAGGACAACAACAGGATAACCAGGAGTCCTGGTGAGGATCCAATATTGATGGTGTCACAGCAGTCAGAGATGTCAAACCAGATCAGTGACTCACTGCAACAAGGTTTGCAAGTGAAGGTGTATGAACAGAAAAATATACTGTGGGACATACTGACATGCTTCACGATAAGACGTTTCCTATGCTTTGTTTTTTGTTTTTTGTTTTATGTCATTTGTTTTTTTTTAAAGATTTGTTTATTTATTTTATGTATGTGAGTACAGTGTCACTCAGATCTCATTATAGATGGTTATGAGCCACCATGTGGTTGCTGGGAATTGAACTCAGGACCTCTGGAAGAGCAGTCAGTGCTCATAACCACTGAGCCATCTCTCCAGCCCCTGTCATATGTTTTTGAGGGAGGAGTTTGCAAGGATGAAGGGCATGTATGAGGGGGACGGGGAGATGAGCAGTTCTGAATACATGATGTGAAATTCACAAAGAGTCAATAAAAAGTTAAAAAGAAAAAGAAAAGGCATGGACTGTGGCATCCAGGCATGGATGCCTTTAATCCTAGCACATGCCTTTAATCCTAGCACTCAGTAGGCAGGGGCAGGTGGATCTCTGAGTTCAAGGCCAGCCTGGTCTACAGAGTGAATTCCAGGAGAGCCAGGGCTACACAGAGAAACCCTTTCTTGAAAACCCAAGGTGGAGGAAGAGGAGGAAGAAGAGAAGGAGGAGGAGGAAGAGAAGGAGGAGGAGGAGGAGGAGGAGGAAGAGGAGGAGGAGACGACTGTAGAACTGAACAAATCATTCTCATAAGAAATGTAAATGGCTGGTACATAAAAGTGCTCAACATCCTCAGCCATTATGAAATACAGATGAAAATGGATGGGTGGAGCCTCATCCATTGGAGCAAAATCAGCCTACCTGTAGGCACAAAGGAATACTGACTCCCCCAACAGCCATCAGGAAGTGGCTCTTGTGAGCCCCTCCCAAATCTATGCTGGAATTTGACCTGGCCTAATCTAAAGTATTGTGAGAATTTCATACTTTGATACATCTATGATAATGTTTTAATGTGTGACATTGAGGTCCTAAGAATATGTGCCCTATTTCCTTTGTAATTTTGTCCACTTATTTTCTTCAATAAAATCACATCTTCATCATTGACAGAGACTTTATATCTTATTTTTCATAATGCATCTGATTTTAATCATATGCACTCCTAAGTATGCTTAGGCATGCGACTATAAATAATGGTTCACTTTTTTAAAAAAAAAATCCTTTGGAGGGCACAATTTGTCTTAATGTGCTTGCAGCAAAAACTAGCTAATACTAAAAATAGGTCTTTGTGTTTTCTAAGGGAAGGAACCTGTTTCCATCATTTGTGGCAGGGATGTGGTAGGATATCTCAGGTTGTTACCACATGCTTAGGTGCCTTGTTGAGTGCTGTATGTACGTAGCCCAAGACGAATGGAGTCCCTTGTTGCTAAAGCAGTTTCTATGACTTAATATGTTTGTGGCAACCTCCAGTTGGAGAACACGAACCCCCAGTAAGCCTCTTATTGAGCATTGGCTCATTAGTTGAATTACTGTTTGAATGAGAGTTGGTGAAGGTTTATCTAATTAAGAGAGTCAAGGAAATGCTATGATTTGAGAGAGCTGCTTCCTTGAGATTTGATTAGGAAATAGAGAAATAATCCATAAAATAGCTATTACTCCATAATTAGAGAGCACAGGTTATTACACTTTAATGTTACCTAAAAAGAGAGGGCTCCTGAGCCCTCAAGTCTACACATTGTACTAGTGGAGAAGAAGAGAGATTTGAAAAGATCACAAGATGTTAAGCCACAGAAAGAAAGATGAAAGTTACTCATTTTAGGCAAACATTAACCTGACAGTTTGTTTTGACCAGAAGGGTCTGACATGCCTAATTCCATGACCTGGCTACTTTGAAATGGGCTGACACCACCATGACTCTAACTATATAATGTAGGCAGAGACCAGAAGTTTTAAAGAGATGAGTACTCAGGCAAAGGCTCCCCAGTCAGAGGCTTGCTTTCTTTGGGTGGTTGTGGAACTTGTGGCTCCTTGGGAGGAGTGGCTTAGTTTGCTCTGTGCTCCGGGGTCCAGAACAAAGCCATTTTCCACCATCATTTCTCAGTGTTACATGTGGCCAGCAACACAGTAGCTTGTAATTGTTTTCTGTAATCTATGCCCACAAAGAGAATTTTTTTTCTCTTTGTCCTTTTACTTTTCTGCTTGTCTCCACAAGCACACACTAACTTGTAAGGCAGTGACACTCTGTAACTCACATGCATGTGAGAGCACAAGAAGGATAAAATGGAAGGAGAAAAAAGAAACATCTGGTTTTTATGAAAAGATGTATTTTCTTTTTTCTTATATTTTTAAAATTGTTTTTTACAGCCCCCTCCCTCTTATCTTCCCAGTCCCACCCTTACAAATCCTTCCTCCCACTGCCCCCACCCTCAGAGAAGGGAGCACCCCTTGGGTACCACCCTAGCCTGGGACATCCAGTCCCAGCAGGTCTAGGCACATCCTCTCTCACAGAGACCCATCTAGGCAGTCCAAGTAGAGCGGAAGAGCATCCAGTGGCAGGGAACAGAAACCAAGACAGCCCCTGTCCCACTTGTGAGGGGACCCACATGAACACCAAGTTGCACATTTGCTATAGAATTTTTAATTTTGTCTAAATGTATGTCAGCGTGCATGAGAGTGTTAGTGCCAGTGGATGCCCAAAGAAGTCAGATCCCTGGGGTGAGAGTTACATGCCATCTGAAAGTGGGTGCTGGGATCAAACTCCACTCCCGTTTAAGAGGAACGATTGCTTTTAACTGCAGAACCATCTCTCCAGCCCTTTAAAACAAATGTAGCTGCAAAGTTTGCTTTCAGTACTGGGGAGTGAGGTCACTCGTTTCTGGCTTCCTTATAGAGTTGAAAAAGGAATTTGGTTGCTAAGGAGGATAACATGTCCAGATGATTCTGATTGATAGGCTGGTTTGGGGTAAGCCTTTGTTCATAGCACACGTCCTTTGCCATAATTCATCAGAATGTGATCACATCCATGCCCAGTTATACATAAGCATAAGGTAGAAAAATGATTATTTTATAGGTTCATTTGTAAAATGTGTCTATTGCCCGAGTACCTAAAACTAGTTCTGTTCAGATCTAGACAGTCTGGATGTGTTCTAATTTGTATTTGAATGGAGTCCAGACATTAGCAAAGCATGAGGAAGTGCTATAATGTATTTTGATTGTTTAATGCGGGCATACTGGTGAATAGAGAGTATTAGACTGACAATAAGTTACCAGGTACAATTTTTCAGAAATGGATATTTACACTATCCAAGCCAAGTGCAGCCTCACCTTGTTGTTATTTCCTATTCTTGCCCACCTCTGCATTGCCCCAGTGTCCAAAGCTGACCTCTTTAATCAATATGGCTGCCTTGTTATCTGTGATCTGCTTGTCCAAGACTTTAAAATTACACACTCTCCTTTCCTCTGTCAAATAATTAGCCCATTGTCTTTATAATAAAGTCATCAAGGATCTTAAGCCCTGAGCAGAATTAATCCAGATTGTGGCAAAGGTTAGGACACAGATGCCCTCTGTTTCTGATAGAGCTCTAGTTTATCTCAAAAACGTCACAAGAGGGACACCTGTCTGCATTCTGTCAGCATTCTTGTCACAGGAGGGATGCCTGTCTGCATGCTGTCAGCATTCTTGGCTTCCGGCTTTCTCTACAGTGGCCTGGTCCTGTCAAATTGTCAGTTAACACTAACCATTTCCCTGATGTTTTAGGAACCAGTGACCTTTGAGGATGTGGCTGTGAACTTCAGTCCAGGAGAGTGGGCTCTGCTGGATTCTTACCAAAAGAAGCTCTACAGAGATGTGATGACAGAAACCTTTATGAATCTGATCTCCACAGGTAACAACACTATGATTCTTCTGCTTCTTCAGGGAGAGAACAGCTATTTCTTACTGTCTGTGTAGTTTCACGAATTGAATATGGAGAGGGACATGATGGTGGAGGAGCAGGTCAAGTCACAGCACAGTAAAAGTAAAAGTGTTTCCTGGTGTTGGGTAAGTCATAATGGTTTCTTTTGATTTACTTCCAGGGAAAACAGAAGAAAGCATTGAAGAGGATTATGCAAATGTCAGAAGAAATATGCGGTAATCCACATTTAGAGAGGAGGATTGGCATCAAATGTTTGTAATTTGTTTTAGGAAATATGAAAACCAATAATCCAAGTACATCGAAATGTAAATTGGTTCTTTGACAAATTTCTAAAATCTGCACTGAGTTTGTGCATCCAGAGGTGTTGAGGATTCCATCTGTTTAATCTATTAATATTTCCTAAATGTCTTACATTAAGCAATGTAAGACATTGTTGTATATATACAACCTTCTCTTCATGCACAAAAGTATTTAATATACTTTTATCAGGTTTTCTTTAGGATTTGGATATATGTTAAATATAGTGAATTTTAGTTTTAAATTGGGATCTAGCTTCAATCAATCTCATGAAGAATATTCAGATATTTTGATTGCATCATGCTTGATCCATATCCTTCGCATAGGTCCTATTTCCCATTGTTAACTGGTATAGACATTTTTAAAAACTTATTCTTTGCCGGACGGTGGTGGCGCACGCCTTTAATCCCAGCACTTGGGAGGCAGAGGCAGGTGGATTTCTGAGTTCGATAGTTCGAGGCTAGCCTGGTCTACAGAGTGAGTTCCAGGACAGCCAGGGCTACACAGAGAAACCCTGTCTCAAAAAAACAAAAACAAAAAAACCTTATTCTTTGATAATTGCATACTTGTATGCTACGTATCCAATTATAGGTCTATCCTTCCTCCTCAATTCCTCCGGCATCCTTCCTCATATTCCTCTTCTGATAACTTCTTGTCTTATTTTTAAAAGAAGGATTTTTTTCTTTTTTTGTTTTTTGTTTTTGCTTTTTTTTTTTTTCATAGCCCATGGAATCTCACTAGTATTACCTCTGTAGGAATGGGTGCAGGGTATTTCAATGAAGTATGATGAACCCACAAGAGTTCAAACTCCTGAAGAAAAATTCCTTATAAGAGTAAACTCAACTCTTAGAACAAGCTCTTTCTATGTGGGCCTCAAAGCTGGTGTCACTCTGCTGCTGCCTCCTAAGTACTCTGTTAGCAGGAGTTAACAGGAGTTAGCCACAGCTCCCAGCCCCTGGTGCTTCTCTTGGCTAATCATAAAATATTAGTTATGTTCTTTTCATCTTTTGCAGAACTCAGATGATTGTGAGACATTGTAAATATGAAGATAGTTTTCAGTGTGGAGAAGCCCACCACCAGATTCCAGAATATGTTGTTAACAAAGATGTGCCTTCTGCAACAGCAGTGTGTGAGAGCAGTGTGTGTGCAAGAGGCATCAGTGGTCACTCCCCTTCAGATGTGCATCTCACAGATGATACTGGAGGGAAACCATTTGAGACTAAGGGACATGTGCGTGTAGCTTTTCAGTATGAGAAACATTATGCAGATTTCACTTCTTCTGAACCCTTTCACATACTAGAAGGTCCTAGAGAGATAGTTTATCAAAAGAAACAACCTAATGAAGCCTATAGGATTCTCACTTCTGATCAAAATTATGAGAAAATTTACAATGAAGGTATATATAATCAGTTTGAAAAAGCTGTCCAGAGATACACTTATTTTCAGATGTATGAAAAACTCCACACTGGACTAAAACCATTTAAGTGTAAGCAATGTGGAGAAGCCTTTGTTCATTTCAACCAACTTGTCTACCATGAAAGAATTCATACAGGAGGGGAATGTTATGTGTGTAATCAGTGTGGAAAAGCATTTAGACACTATTCATACCTCCAGAAACATGAAAGAATTCACAGTGGAGATACACCCTACGTGTGTAAGCAGTGTGGCAAAGCCTTCGTTCGCTCCTCACACCTTCTCGTCCATGAAAGAATTCACACTGGAGAGAAACCTTATACATGTAAGCATTGTGGGAAAGCATTCAGTCATCACAGTGCCTGCTACAGACATGAAATAATTCACACTGAAGAGAAGCCCTATGTCTGCAAGCAATGTGGGAAAGCATTTACTTGTTCTACATCCCTTCGCAACCACGAACGAATTCACACTGGAGAGAAACCTTATGCATGTAAGCAGTGTGGGAAATCCTTCATCCAACGTGATGCTTGTTACAATCATGAAAGAACTCACACTGGAGAAAAGCCCTATGTGTGTAAGCAGTGTGGGAAAGCATTTACGTGGTCCACATGCCTTCGCAACCATGAAAGGACTCACACTGGAGAGAAACCTTACACATGTAAGCACTGTGGGAAAGCCTTCACCCATTCCAGTACCCGGTATAGTCATGAAAGAATTCATACTGGAGAGAAACCATATGTATGCAAAAAGTGTGGCAAGGCATTCATTCATTCCAGTCACCTTATCAGCCATGAAAAGATCCACACTGGGGAGAAACCATATCCATGCAAGCATTGTGGGAAAGCCTTCATTCAACGAAAGGCTTGTCACAATCATGAAAGAACTCATACTGGAGAGAAACCCTATGCATGTAAATATTGTGAAAAATCATTTAGGTGTTCCACATACCTCCGCAACCATGAAAGAACTCACACTGGAGAGAAACCTTATATATGTAAGCACTGTGGGAAAGCCTTCACACATCAGAGTGCCCGTTACCGTCATGAGCGGATTCACACTGGAGAGAAACCCTATGTATGTAAACAATGTGGGAAAGCCTTCAGTGACTGTAGCTACCTTGTGAAGCATGAAAGAATTCATTGGAGAGAAGCCTTACACATGTAAGAATAGAGAAGCTTTTATGTGTTCCACATTCCTTTAAATACACTAAAGAGCTGACAGAAAAGAACTGAAAAATTTACAGCAGTATATCTGGTGGCCTTGTCTGTATACAACGTATGTGTATGAACAGTTCATGAGAAGGCTCAGTGGGTAAAGGTGCTTGTTACTAAGCTTGATAATCTGAGTTCCATCCCAGGGACCCATATGATAGAAATAAAAAATTACTCCCCAAAATTTACCTCTGAATTCCATGTACACATGTGGGCTCACACACAAACTCACTATTTAAAATGTATATACATATGGAGAACAACTGAAACCTTCAAAAGTGTAGTTGTGTCCCTGATATGCAAGCATATATAGGATAAAATCCAGTGGCACTGGGCATGGTAAGACATACCTTTTATTCTAGCACTGGGCGAGGTGGGGATGGTAAAGATTAGAGAATTATAATGGATATAGTGGATTTGAACAGCACATGGGAAGTTTAGTACGAGCCAGATACAATGTGGAATTTTCTTTGCAAGAGGAAAAGAAAACAAAGCTAGAGAGATGGTTCCACTCTTCAAAGCCCATGCTGCCCTGCCAGAGGACCTGAGTTTGTTTCTCTGCATCAACATTGTGTGACTTACAACTATCTGCAATCCCAAATCCAAGAACTGTGATGCCCTCTTCTGGCCTGTGTAGGTATAGAACACATGTGATACACATATAAATAAGTCTTTTTAAAAATTATGTGTATAAAGCAAATAGGAAAAAGTGTTTTTTTTTCAAAAAATATGAAATATTATGTAGTCTAACCTTATAAAAATAATAAATGTGGAGACTGAGCAAATTTATTTGCACAGAATATTGCTGGAAATAACCTGGAGTACAGTAAAATTATGAGCATTTTTACCATTGTTTGATTTTACATGAGATCTTTAGTTTGCATTATTGATTTTTATAGTTCTGAAATAAGATTAGGTGACTAATGTCATGATTGTGCTTGCCTATATTGCCTGGTGCTTTAACTGCTGAAGCTGCCAGGACACTATGTCTGACAATAGCAACTACAGCCATACAAGACATTTGCACTGAGGTGATGTAAGTTTGATTAATTTCAGTTCAGTAGGTATTGTTTAAATGAAGTGAGGTAGTGATTTTTCTACTTTACTGTAGAGCTGTTGGATTCACTGAACTGAGATACATTTATAATGAAACAGATTTAATTTTATCTAGCTTGTTGGTAAGTGTGGTTCATTTGAAAATGAAAATGTAAGATTCTTGAAAGTGCTTTCTCACTATTATATGTCATTTTAAAAAAATTATTATTGATTCCTTTGCAATTTCCTAACATTTGTGTGAAAAACAGAATGTTTCTGGTGCTTGTATAGATTTTATATTTTGTGCTTTTCAGTGTATGTATTTTGTTTTCATTTTTGTTTGTAGACAGGATCTCACTATGTAGGCTTGGCTGGCCGAGAGCTCACATAGTTCCTGCCTTTGCCTCCAAACAGTTGGAATTAAAACTTACACCACCACCTCTGGCTCAATGAGATTTTTGTATGTGTGTTTTACAGGGGTTTTGGTTGGTTGGTTGGTTGGTTGGTTGGTTGGTTGGTTGGTTGGTTGGCTGGTTTTGTTTTATTTTTGTTTACTTCTTTGGTTAGTTAGTTAGTTAGTTAGTTAGTTGGTTAGTTGGTTGGTTGGTTGGTTGGTTGGTTGGTTGGTTGGTTTGTGAAAGGGTATCCCAGTATAGCTCTAGCTGTCCTGGTACTCAAACATACAGATTCACCTGCCTCTGACTTCCAATGGCCAGGATTAAAATGCACAAGCCAATGCTTGGCTCTGTGTTTTGCAGAGTTTTTCGGGAGAAAAATGATAAAAAATTGTTATCAGTGAGTGTATATGTTTACACTGACCTTCATATGGGTGCCTGTGGAGGCCACAATTATCATATCCTTGGAGTTAGAGTTATAGGTTGTTGTCAGACAGCTGAAATAGGTGCCAGGAACTGAAGTCAACTCTGAAGACAAGCAAAAGATCTTAACTGCTGAGCCACCTCTCCAGTCCCTTCTTGCTCTTATGTTTTCTAACAGTTTTATACACTTACATAATTAATTTTAGTACTTTTTTTCTCCCACATTCCTTTTCATCCCCCTCCCTCTCCTGCTGGGATCCTTAACAAGTCCCCTTCTTTTTTTCCCTGTCTTATGTGTGCCCCACTGTAACTCAAATTTGTTGCTCAAGCATAGATTAGAAATTATCTTCTGAAGAGAAAATTGAGAAAGAAACTTGAGTGACCATGTAGCAATATACTAATAAGTTCCCCCTCCCCCAGGATATGGCCTCACCAGCCACAGACTTTTAAACTGGATTTGAAGAACTAGGGATGCATCTCTTATCAACAAACAAAGCTTCCAGTGCAGGGACACATCCAATTGAGTTGTTGGCCAAAGGAATCCCATAAAATTCCCAGGATGTTGCCAAGACAATAGGCTATGGTTTGAAAACTGACAGCAAGAACCCCCTGCTTAAGACAACACCAACGCAACTCATTGGACATAGAGAGGTGGAGCTGGTGCCTACATAGAACACTCACTGCATCTTCTAGTGTCTTTGGTATGGGAAGGTACTTTGCAGGCTACAAAAAAAGAAATGTAAATTCCAACCCAGGCACAAACCATTTGATCTACAATCTGTCCTGCTTGCAAAATATGCTAGGGCAGGGGTAGCACAAAGATTATGGGAATAACCAATGTCATTTGACTTAAGATCCTCTCCATGACATGGAATCCATACCCAATACTGGGTGACCAAAAACCAGAGACTAGATATCCCAGAGACCAAGGGTAAAATCAAATACTACTATGTGTGTGTGTGTGTGTGTGTGTGTGTGTATTCATTCTGCTACATTCATAGATAGGTGCCTTATTTAGCCATCATCAGATAGGCTTCTTCCCACAGTACATGGGCACGAATACAGAGATCTGCAGCAAAGCATGTGGAGACTGTAAATGGGATATGCCCATCAATCCCTCCCCTCAAAGCTCAGGAAACCCTGCAGAAGAAGGGTAGAAAGAGTGTAGAAGTCAGAGGATGGAAGAACCAAGAGGCCAAGGAAATCAATTAAGCAAAGCTCATAGGAACTCACAGAAACTGAAGCAGCAAGTATTGGGTCCACATGGGTCTGCACCAGGTCCTCTGCATATATATTATAGCAGTAGTATAATAGTGTTTTTATGGGACTGTTTAGGGTCTGAACAGTGTACTGGCTGGTTCTGTGTCAACTTGACACAAGCTGGAGTTATCACAGAGAAAGGAGCTTCAGTTGAGAAAATGCTTCCATGAGATCCAGCTGTATTAGTGATCAAGGTTAGGAAGGCACCTTGTGAGTGGTGCCATCCCTGAGCTGGTAGTCTTGGATTCTATAAGAAAGCAAGCTGAGCAAACCAGGGGAAGTAACATCCCTCCATGGCCTCTGCATCAGCTTCTGCTTCCTGACCTGCTGGAATTCCAGTCCTGATTTCCTTTGGTGATGAACAGCAGTGTGGAAGTGTAAGCTGAATAAACCCTCTCTTCCTCGCTCACTTGAATGACCCCTTTCTATTTACCTGAGCCTTATAGCATACAATGTTCAGTGCACTGCTATAAAAATGTGTAGGTAGGAACTGCATAAAAGGGAGAACCTTAGGTGTTTGTCTTTCTGAGTCTGGGTTACCTCAGTATATTTTCTAAGTTTCTTTTCCTTCAAATTTCACGATTTCATTCTTAACCCATGAATGAAATTCCACTGTATGTATAAGTACCGAGTTTTCACTATCTACTCAACAACTGATAGAGTTTCAGGCAGGTACCACTTCCTTGAGTGCATAAGTATAAGTCTCTCTTTTAGGGTATGTGCACAGGAGTAGAATTGCTAGGTCATGTGGCTGTTCTATTTTTAGATTATTTTTAAAAGAACTACTACACTAATTTCCATCATGGCTGCGCTAACCAATGTGCACTCTTTTTTTGTTTGTTTGTTTTGATTTGATTTGATTTGATTTTTCGAGACAAGGTTTCTCTGTGTAGCCCTATCTGTCCTGGAACTCACTCTGTAGACCAGGATGGCTTCGAACTCAGAAATCCACCTGCCTCTGCCTCCCAAGTGCTGGGATTAAAGGCGTGCGCCACCACCGCCTGGCTGCCAATGTGCACTCTTATCAACAATAGATCTGGGTTACTATTTTCTTGTTTGTTTGTTTGTTTGTTTGTTTGTTTTATCAACATTTTTTTTCTTAGTCTTGGCCATTCTGGCAGGTATAAGATGAAGACACAAAGTCGACAAAATTTTCATTTTTCACATGGCCAAGGCTTTTACTTACTTTTTATAATTTTCTTATTGATATTTTGTCTTTCAAAACTTTCTTTGCATACAACATTTTAAATGGGGTGGTTTTCCATTAGTTTTGGGTTGTGTTACTTAATGTATTCTATGCAGGAATCTCCTATTAAATATGTTGTTGGTGGAGAGTTTTCTCCCATTCTATAGACTGTTTGATTGACAAGATTTGCAGAATAGAAGTTTTTAGATTCCACATGGTGGCAGCAGTTGATTGTTGGGCTTATTCCTGAGCTACTAGACTCTGACTCAGAGGAGCCATATCTGTGCCTGTGCATTTTAATGTACTCTTTGCTTATCTTCTAGTAGCTTCAGAGTTTCAGGTCTAACATTGTTCTCTTTGATCCATTTGAAATTTATTTTTTTATACAGAAAGAGTGATAAGGGTCACATTTTACTTTCCCACTTGTAGATATTCAGATTTCCAAGTATCATTTCCTGTCTTTTGTTCAATATGTATTTTTGTCTTCTAAAAAGTCAAATCACTAGTTGTTTGAACTTCTATTTGGATCATCAATTGTATTCCATTGATCAGATTTGCTTTTGTTCTACTACTATGGTCCTTTTTAAAATTATTACTACTGCTAGGATTCCATAGTATAACTTGAAATCAGTAATAGTGATGCTTCCAATTGTGTTTTTATTGTTGAGGAATTTTTTTTCCAGCTCCAGAATTCTCTCTGAGTCTGTGTTTTTGTTATTCCTCTACTTCCATTTTCAGGTCTAAAACACTTTTAGTTATTTCTTTTACCTGTTTGTTTGTATTTTCCTATATTTTAAAAAGGGATTTATTCATTCCCTTGTTAAAGGCCTCTATCATCTTCATGAGACTGGATGTAAGGTATTTTTCTTGTACTTCAGCTGTGTTGGAATATTGCTCTAGTAGGATAGCTAGGCTCTGGTAATGCTATATTCCCCTGGCTATTGTTGATTGCATTTTTATGCTACATCTGGGTTTGGGGTTATTATAGGTTTAGATGCTGATTTCTGAGATTTTCTTTGTTAGATGAGTTTTTTTCCCTTGATTTTAATTTCTTCTCTCAATCTTCTGGCCCCAGTGCACTAGGGTTCTGGTAATCAGCTCATCTTCAGGTCCAGTAGGGTGTCTCCACTGGGGTTTTTGTGTCCTGTGTGACTTCTGGGGTTTGGGGTACCAACATTGTTTGTAGTGCCCCTAGAAACAGCATGGCCTCTGGGAAAGCAGAGTGCTATTGCCACAGTTGTAGGCTGGAATATGGAGACCAGGGGAGAGGGTACAGTTTGTAGTTGCTGGGTGTCCTTCAAGGGTAGCACTGAATGCTTTCATAAAGAAAGTGGAGAGATCTCATACTGGGCACTTAACAATGTACCTGAAAGCTCTAGATCAGAAGGAAGCAAACACACCC